ATATGTCGCCTTTGACTATAGGAGCAGGTGAGGGACTATATTTATGCATACTGAATTTCTTTAAGATCTTTTCTATGCATGCCTTTTGTGACAGTCCTAATACCCCTTTACTTCTATCTCGGTGAATCTCGATCCCTAGAACGAACGAAACTTCACCAAGATCTTTCATATCAAATTTTGAGGATAAAATTTCTTTGTCTACAGCAGTAGACTGACATCACTACTAGCAAGTAAGATATCATCCACATACAGGACAAGAAAGATAAACTTCCCATTCTTAAACTTTGCATAGACGCAATTGTCCTCAACATTATCTTTAAACCCAAAATTCCTTATTGTGTGATCAAACTTCAAGTACCACTGCCTTGAAGCTTGTTTTAATCTATAAATGGATTTTCTTTAGGCGACATCTCATTCATTCTTTTCCTTCCATGACAAAACCTTTTGGTTGTGCCCTGTAAACATTTTCCTCCAAGTCACCGTTGAGAAATACCATCTTTACATCCATCTGATGTAATTCTAAATCGTAATGTGTCACTAATGCCATTATAATTCTGAAGGAATCCTTACATGAGACTGGAGAAAAGGTCTCATTGTAATCAATCCCTTCTCTTTGCGTAAAGCATTTTGCCGCAATTAGCGCTTTATATCTCTCTATATTATCTTGAGAGTCAAGTTTTGTTTTGTAGACCCATTTTACAGCCTACTGTTTGCCTCCATTAGAAATTATTTCCAAGTCCCAAACTTTATTGGTATTCATGGATTTCATTTCATCTTCCATGGCCTCAAACCACTTTGATGAATAATCACTTCTCTTGGCTTCTTCAAATGAGGTGGGATCATCCTACATTTGAAATTTCTCAGTATTGTATACTTCATAGTCAGCAGGAATAGCTGATTTTCTAACTCTTTGAGATCTTTTAGGGGCCTCCACATTTGGCACATCTTCTGTTTGAGGCTGTTGTTGCTCCCCCTCATGTGTGACAATAGGTTCTATAGGATCCTGAAAAACAGGTTCCTCATCATCATTCATTTTTGCCACAGGCGAAAAAACAACAGGTGCTGACACCACAGTATCTTGCACTGTCGGTGCAGCGACAGCAGGTAGTGAGAAAAATGGCTCATGAATCATCGGAGTGGGCGCATACACCCGCTTCTCTTCAAGGTCAATTTCTCGAGCTACCATGCTCCCCCTCATCATTTCATTCTCTAGGAAGACAGCGTGTCTCGTTTCCACAAACTTTGTATGTCTGTCTGTATAGTAGAAATAAAAGCATTTTAACTTTTCTGGGTAGCCAATGAAATGACAACTTACTATTTTAGGATCTAACTTTCTAATGCTTGGGTTAAATACTTTAGCCTCAGCAGGACTCCCCCACACACGTAAGTGGTTTAGTGAGGGTACTCTTCCTGTCCACAACTCATACGGTGTTTTGGGCACCGACTTACTTGGTACTCTATTGAGAATATGAATGGCGGTTTTCAACTTTTGCCTTAAATATCTACATTTATCCAATGCTTCCGTTCTTTCTTTGATTGGATAAATGTAGACATAACGGGAGTAATCATCTGTGAATGTTATGAATGAATCATTACCATCCACACTCTTTACAGGAAAATGACCACATATGTCTGTGTGAATAATTTATAAAATTCCTACGCTTCGTTTGACATCTTTCTTAATTTTCTTTACATACTTTTCTTTTATGTATTCTCTATATTATCTAAATCTGAGAGCTCTAATGGAGGAAGAATACTAATCTTTCTATTCTCCCCCTCAAAATATGGTCTAAACGACAGTGCCATAATTTCGATGATGCATCGTGAGCTCTCTTATGCCACCATTTTTAGAGTAACTCTCTGTCACCAGCTGCTTTATTAGCTGGGTAGCCTATGTCTTTGAAGAGCCAGTGAACTAACTCTTTATTCTATCGAGGTACTTGGTGACCGTGTCACACTCTAGGATTAAGCCCACAATTGCACGCTCAATCGTGTTCTTTATCATAGCCAAAAATTTCTTATTAGCAGTGACCCACTTCCTATGCTCAAGGTTATAGGATATCTTTTGGGATTCAAAATCTCTCTCTTTAGTTGCCCAAGCGGCATCAGTCTCGTTTGTCTCCCTCACCGGTGCCTCAGGATCAGTGGGTCATAGTGAGGTGACTAACCAGTCCACCTCAACCAAGATGAAGGCCAGGTCAATTTTTTTCTTCCACTCCATGTAGTGGGGATCTCTAACAATTGCATGTCTTGATTCCAATGTTGGTTAAAATTAAAACATACAACTGTTCTTATACACTAATTCTACATCATCGTTGGGCAGAAATAGAATTAATGTATAAAATTATTAAAATTTACAACTGTTCTTACACACTAATTCTACATCACCATTGGACAGAAATAGAATTAATGCATAAATCATTAAAATTTACAACTGTTCTTATACACTAATTCTACACCACCGTTGGGCAGAAATAGAATGAATGCATAAATCATTATAATTTACGACTGTTCTTATACACTAATTCTACATCACCGTTGGGCAGAAATAGAATTAATGCATAAAATCATTAAATTACGATATTGTTATTAACAACGTTGGTCAGAAAATAACAACATCATAATCAAGTCAAAATCTCTTTTTCTCTAATTAAATATCACGTTGGTTCAAAATAACTGAGGAATAAATGATTTTTAGCAGCGGAAAACGTATACTCAATTTCTTGAATTTTACCCACAGGGAAAAATTACTTTTTCTATTTTCTTTGAGCTATTTTTCATTATCCAGAAATAAGCAATTACTGGAAAACAAAAAGAAAAAAACTGATCTTGGGCCAGAAGCGCGCAAGTGGCCCCGCTTGACTCGGCCTTTCACTTTCGCTTGCAGCGCTTGTCGCTACCGACCAGGCGCAACTTTGGGCCTAGGCAAAAGCAAATGACTGGCTGGCTCGCCACCCTGGGCGAGAGCGGCCCAGTTGATCTGCGCCGTTGGATCTGATCCGACGGATGTCCGCGCGTCTCGCCCAAACAAAAAAAACCGCGCCGCGGCTCATCCCCAAACCCTAGCGTCATTCGCCCTTCCCTCTTCTCTCTCTACGCCGCTCCTTCTCTTTTCTGCAGCAGCAGCGAGCAGCGACTGGAGCCGAGATATATATATATATATATATATATATATATATATATATATATATATATATATATATATATATATATATATATATATATATATATATATATATATATATATATATATATATGGCGCCGTCGTTCGCGGCGGCGAGACCTCGCTCCCTCCCGCGGCTGGCCCCCTTTAACCCTAGTCCATTTCTCCTCTTCCTTTCTCTCTCAGCCGCACGGAGCACCGAGCGAGAGTGAGCGGTGGAGCAGGCATCCATGGCGCCGTCGCTGCCCCCCGGCGGCGGCGTGCAAGGCTCCCTCAGCTGGTGAGAGTGCTGCCGTCAGCGGGCTGGGCATGGCGCCCCTTGGTCGAGCCCGTGAGTAGCTCCCGGCTCGGCCCTTTCTTCTCTCTCAAGACCGGGCGAGGCAGCGAAGATCAAGTAGCGGTGAGGTAAGCCAAAACGGCTCTTCCTCTTCTCCCTTTCCCCTTCTTTCTTCTTGGATTAACCCGATTTGGGGATGGGGTCAAAAATTAGGGTTAGGGTTTTGGGATGGGCACTGTTCTTCTTCCCCAGAGGGACTTCACGGGTTTAGGGTTCGGCTTTGACTCTCTTCTAGGCCGAATCCCTCTCTTTTCCTCTTTCTTTCACCCAGTTAGAGTTAGGGTTAGGAAAAACCCTCTTTCTTCTCAGGTCCGAACTGGATCTGATCGGTTCTCTGCTTTCTTGTCTGTTTCTTCTTGGTTCTTTGCCGATTGGGGATTAGGGTTAGGGTTAGGGTTTCGTTAGGGTTAGGATTAACCCGATTCGTTTTTCTTTCGGCTTGGGTTCGGTTGAACCCTCTTATCTTTTCTTGCCGCACGCCGGCGAAGACGACGGTGCGGCATCTTTCCCCCTGCACGGTGACGGTGGTGACCGGGAGTTGAATGACGTCCGCCACCCCCCGGTCTATTTTTATATACTTTTACCCGGTTAGGGTTAGGGTTTCAATCCGAAATGGATCAAACCCTTGTTCTCCGTCTATTTATTTTCAATTCTTTACCACATACTAGATCTATACACTGGCAACCTTGGCTCTGATACCAATGTTAGGATCACAGAGTACCACTATAAAGTAGATCGGGGTTTAAACATCTTACTTAGGGTTCCTTTAGTTCGCCCTGGCGCAGTTGCGCCGCAGCCTCGTGGACGCCGGTGTCGAGGAAGCTCGACGCGGTGGAGTCCAGCGTCGTGGTGGCGAGGTCCAGTGGCGACGGCGGAGTCGGTGGGGCTTCCCGTCGCTGGCATCACTTACTTTAGATCGGATTAGGTTTCTCTGTAGGTGGTTACGGTAGCTCAGGTCAACCTCATCATCCGAGCCCTGATCCCCACCTCTCTATTTATAGTGCTGTGCGATAGGGGTCCACCAACCATATTAGGGTTGGGCGCCCCCGATCAGGACGCAGATCTAAGGGCCCATGGAGATCAACTAACAGAAAGGAGCCGCCCCCAGAGTTCCCGTCGCCCCCTGCCCCTCGCGCCGCGTGCTCTCTTTCTTGGGTCTGGGCGGGACGAAGGAGGAGGGGAGCGCGAAAGGAGGCCCGCCTAGTAAGATCCGCGAGGGCCCCGGCCTCGACGACGACGAGCATCCCGTGCGCGTCCGATCTGGAGACCCTCCTGCGCGCGAGGAAGCTGACCCTCATCCTCGACCTGGACCACACGCTGCTCAACTCCACGGGGCTCGACGACCTCTCCCCCGCCGAGCGAGCCAACGGGCTCATGCGGCACGCCAAGGGTGACTCCACCGCCGGCCTCTTCCGGTTGGGCCTCGCCCGCTTTCCCATGCTCACCAAGTTGCGCCCGTTCGCGCAGGGCTTCCTGGAGCAAGCCAGCGCCATGTTCTAGATGTCCGTGTACACCCTTGGCGATCGGGGCTACGCGAGGGCGGTCGTGAAGCTGCTGGACCTGGACGGCGCCTACTTCGGCGGCAGGGTCGTGTCCAGCGACGAGTCCACCAGGCGGGACAGGAAGAGCCTCGACGTCGTCCCGGGCGCCGACGCCGCCGCGGTGGTGATCCTCGACGACTCCAGCCACGTCTGGCCGGAGCACCAGGAGAACCTGATCCTGATGGACAGGTACCTCTACTTCGCCGATAGCTGCCGGACGTTCGGCTACAGGGTGAGGTCCCTGGCGGAGCTGAGGCGCGACGAGCGCGAACACGACGGCGCGCTAGCCGTGGCGCTCCAGGTCCTGACGCGCGTCCACCAGGGGTTCTTCGACTCCGTCCTCGGCGGCCGCTGCTCCGATGTCAGGGAGGTGATCAGGGCCGTGCGGAGCGAGGTGCTGCGTGGCTGCACGGTGGCGTTCAGCCGGGTCATCCTGCTCGAGGACGTCGCCGGGGACCACCCCATGTGGAAGCTAGCCGAGCAGCTGGGCGCCGTCTGCGCGGCCGACGCGGACGCCACGGTCACCCATGTTGTCGCGCTGGATCCAGGGACTGACAAGGCGCGGTGGGCACGGGACAACGGCTAGTTTCTGGTCAATCCGAAGTGGATCATGGCGGCGAGTTTCCGGTGGTGCCGGCCGTGCGAGCAAGAGTTCCCAGTCACCCGTGGCCATGGACGTTGAATATTTACTGCAGGAAGGTGTCGCTGTCATCAAGACTTCATGCTTCGGATCGTTGAGATTGCCTGCACTTACTACTTTTGCTTCACTAACCTAACCTAGTCGTTGAGAGCTCTGTGACTCATCGATTCACTTAGGTCAGGTTCTGTTGGAAAATTGAGTACTAACATGTACTTGAAGGATCGTCTATTCATAGTTCAGGATAATGAAGAAACTCTGTAATCTATTCAATTACTCTCATCAGATATTCAGTTACTGTATGTGATGTTTTTTTTAATCCACTGTATGTGATGTTGATGTTCTATATCAGTGATATTGTGTGACAAATTGAGGGGTTAAAGAACATGGCATACTGTCATACTGTGATGATGTAGGCAGATGACTATGCATGTACTTGTATGCATGTCTGCAACAGGATATAGAAAAAATAAGAGTAAATCCACCGGCGGTCCTCAAACTTGTTCGGCAATACCACAGGATGAACATGATTAGCCTGCACCAGTTACCTGCCCCGTACCGCTGCTGTATGTCTTAGCATACTTACGTGTTTTGCTTATGCTTTGGCTTTGGCACTGATGGTCTTCAGGTCTTGGTATGCATCCTAGTTCATTTCTTGCCAAAAGACTAAAATACATGTCAAAGTTGCACTTTCAACTATGAATTCGAATTTCGATTTATTAGAAACAAACAGTCTGGCATGGAAGACAAAACTTCATATCTAAATATCCTACATTCCTACTCTAAGCCACTGTCAGTGATGACATAAGGTAATTCCGTTGAACCCATGTGTTGCCTTTGCCTTCCCTATCCAGCATCCACCTCCTCGGTTGGCCTGACCCACTCGTTGTTCGTCTTGGAGTAATGGAGCACCGAGCACCTGACCCTCGGCTCTAACTCTCCTGGCGAGCAGGTGGCTGTCCGGACCAAAGGACAGCTCCATCTTCTCTCCCAGCGCAGCGATCCAAACCTGTGCTTGATGCAGATGCCTCGTTGTGACTAATCTGCAGAACCTCTGTTCAAGTACTGTCAAGTGTTCAGAATAGGGAGTCTGATAATGTAGGGCATCCAGTTACTGCCAATGGTGCAGGGCACTCTCTATCTGAGTTAAAGTGCAAGACATTGGAATTTGGAAGTTTCTAATGTGGCATAATGTGATGTTGTATTGCTGTTCTGTCTTAATGTCTTCAGATGACTCCATGTATAGTTTATGCTCATCGTAGCATCGAGGGGCCCCGAGACAGGTACCTGTCTGCCGTGGCCACACAGATGGCCACTACGGCCTACGGGAACCTCCAGAGCTCGACGTCGATGGCCAGGAAGATACGGTAGAGCTCGAGCTCCTTGTCGTCAATGTACGTCGTCCGGAAGTCGTCGTAGCCGATGCAGTCTGCCGACGATGATGACTCATGGCAGGAGCTCAACTGGGTGGCCAGGAACGCCGAGTCTGGGGCATGGGCGTGCGGATACCCGCCGTAGCCAGGCTCCTGCGGCGACGGCGGACGTACAGGATGGGACTGGCCGAGCGAGTGCTTGATGGCGATTGGCGAGGCCGGTGGCCCTGTTGACGAGCGCGAACGCCGGCTGGCCCTTCGCGTCCTTCACCCAATCACCCTCGTGCTGTGCCTCATGTCCGTGTACCAGACCAGTACATACATGTACGTACGTTACACACAGGCCACAGTGTCAAGCAAGCACACCAGATCGATGACTAGAAATTGAGCTACCAAAACCACCAACAGGATCGATTGATGTGAGAGAGCGAGCGAGGGAGGGAGAGCGTCCATGGAACTCGTCGCGGGGGCTGGTGGGCACGAGGACGACGACGTCGTGGCGCACGGTGAGGTAGTACACCTCCGTGTCCCGCAGGCCGCTGCGCCAGCCGCACATGTTCCATCGTCGCAGCAGGCCCCGCTGCACGCGCTGCGTTGCCGCACCATCTCGCTCCGACTCTTGCTTCGCCTCCGTGTCCCGCAGGCCGCTGCGCCAGCCGCACATGTTCCATCGTCGCTGCAGGCCCCGCTGCACGCGCTGCGTTGCCGCACCATCTCGCTCCCCTCGCTGTCGCCCGACTCGCCCGTCGCCGCGTGCTGAGCCGTGGCGGACGGAGACACCACGGTGGTCATCGTGGCTGCCGCTGGGCGAGGCTCCATGGCCTGGACCGCTGCGCCGTACATGGCTCCAGCGGCACACCTCACACTCCTTTTTCTCCCCGCCACGCCTACCTAGTCCGGCCGCCGATCTTGACGAGCACCCACCGACGGTGGAGAGGTCGATGTGCACGGCGCAGGGCGTGCTGATGACTGTGCCGGAGGACGTGATGGCAAGGCCAGGCGAAGAAGATGACCCGACCGTGAGGGGCACTTGGCAGCGTCAGAGGCGAGGGAGGTCCGTGAGCGCGGCGAGCGTGGCGAGCGAGTGCTGCAGCGTACTCGCCGGAGTCGGCACAGTGAACTGAAACAGAAAGAGGCAGGGCCACGATGATCGTTCTGCAGCTCTGTCCACACTGAAGAGGTGAGCTGGCTAGCCACATTGTCAAAAATGGCAAAGGTGTTACAATATTAATTGTACATGTGGCAAGAACCAAATGGTGATGGATATCTAAATCCAAATGGATCCCATTTAAAGTATCAAAGCAACTCCATTTATATTTTGGATTATTATCCAAATCCACTTCCACGTTTGCCCAAGCGGCCGAGCCACGCCCCCAAGTTCCCCGACGGTCCAACCGCTCTGGGATTTCTAATTATTTGCCATTGATACGGTGGCCACCTCTTTGATTGTTAGTTTTATCGTGACAACTACATATTTATTTAGAAAACAGTAACTTACTTACAAATTTATCATTTTCGTTGACGTGGCACGCCAGCGTGCAACTTGACGTCTCTATCTTTCTAGACCCAACGACGCTAGCAGATGCCCGTCACCTCACCTCTCTGCTGGTCTCTGCTTGTGGGACCTGGCTGTCAGCTCCTTCATCCTCCCTTCCCAACGAGGGCAGAGCAAGGGCGCCAGCGGCCAAAGGCCGGCCGCACCAGGGCTAGCTCGGGCCCACGTGCTCCCTTGCTCCTGCTCGCGTCCTGCCGTGGGGATAGACAAGGCTCGTGTGCGGTCCAGGCTTTGTGGCGGCTCGACGCGACCCGACCGAGGGTGGCAGGGATGCGGCTTGGATGCGGCATCGACCGACGGCGTTGGCGCGGCGCGGCCGTAGCGAGCTCCGCCTGGTGCACGAGACGGCGGCCGCAGCGAGCTCCGCCGGGCACGCCAAACAGCAGCCGCGGCAAGCTCGACCAGGGCACGTGAGGCGGTAGCCACGACGAGCTCCACCGGACGCACGAGACGGCGGTCGTGGACAGCCACGAGCGCAGCCGCAGACGAAGAGTGCACGGAGAGGCGGACTTCCGACCCGCGTGCGCACCAACTCCTGTAGGTCCTCGTCCACCCTGGACCCGGCCACGCCACCGACTCCGCTGCAGCCGCGCCGTCGAGAGTTGCGAGCGCCCATGCCACTGTCCGCATGGCTACCAGTGCGGTGGAGCACGTGTTCTTGCGAAGCTCGAGCGCGTGGCGTCGACGCTTGCCACCGACGCATCATCCATGGTCGCATCCTTGGAGACAGTCGCGCTTCCCTTGTGCTCTCCTCGGCTGAGCCCGCGCGCTCGAGGCACTCGGTGCCTGCCTAGGCCGCCCTTTCCCCCTCCATCGGGCGGCCGGCCATGCCCAACGAAGAAGATAAACAGTGCTCAGGACAGGGCTGACACGTGAGCCCCACTTGTAGAGAGGGGGAGCTGACGCCGTTGAGCCGGGCAAACTGAGACGTCAAGTTCTACGGTGGCTCGCTGAAGTGGCGTGCCACGTCAGCAAACTGTTTTCTGAGGTAAATATGTAGCTGATAAATCTGAAAATCGGAGAGGTGGCCACCCTACACGTAGCAAATAATTAGAAATCCCAACCGCTCCGCAGCCTTCAGCCCTCAGCTCTCTGTCTCGCGCGTTCCCGCACGGTGCTCCGCCTGAAATTCCAAAATCAGGCAATACAGTAAACTCCGGTGGTCGGCTCTCGGCTGCACCCGGCGGGGATCAACCGCCGGTCTGTGTTGTCCCCTGCCCCCGCCTTCTTCATTAACGAATCGACATGCCTGGGTCACTTTCCGTCGCGGCGGCCATGGAAGCCGTCAAGAAACAGGTAAAGAACTCCTGAATCGATTCCACCACTTCCCCCTTTCTTTAATCGCAACTCCCTGACCAGTAAAACCTAGCGGCGGCGCCTCCAGAACCCAGCGGCCAACGCCCGGCCATCCGTCCGCAAATCTTGCGTGTGTGGAGCTGTTGAGATGTGATTAGCGTGTTATGTAGCCTGGCATATTAGAAGTACAGCAGCCGCGGCAAGATTGGTTCATGCGGAGGCGCAGACGGTTTTGGAGATGATTCGAGGGCGGGCTGGGAAGTTAGAAGTCCCGCGGGGCTGGGTTCCGCCGCCTCTTACTCTTGCTGTAGTTCCTAGCATGTCTAAGATTGGTGGTTTATTATTAGTTGGTTCTTGCAACTTACTGTAGTCTGGAGTTCAATCTTCAACGGGTTGATGCGTTATTTCTAGACTTATTGAATCCAATTGTGAGTTCTTTCTTACAATAGATACGCTCATTTATAATAGTTAATAGCACTGCTGCTAGTAAAAATGGCGGATGGATGGCGGATGGGTCCATTACCTTTCTTGAATTAACATCCCGATACCAAATTCATGTTCTTTACTATTCAGTTTCGCATAATTTTGGTAATTTGAATCGTCGCTCACTAAACTGTGAAGTTTTACTTATTCCACTCCTGCAAATTTATTTCTGCTTGAGAACTGGTACAATTCGGTGCTGTGGTTGTCACTAGTAGTTTCTTGCAACTTGCTGGAGTTCAATGATTGATTCTGAATATGTTTCATTTTAAAACACCTGCAGATCAATAAACTGGTAAAAGCCTTTCACAGAAAGAACCCTGCATTCGTTCTATGTAAGCATGAAAAGAGGAATGCTCAGAGACTAGATAAATTTCTGGATGGTTTTCGAGGCGTCTACTTCCTGAAACCACACGGAATCAAGGCCAAATGCCATTACCAAGGATTCTCTCGTCCTACCACTCAGGCACGAGATGTCATAATAGCTTTGATCCGTCTAATGGAACTAGTAGAGCAAGCAGGATATTGTTTCGATGGGAAGTTGACGATGAAGAATCTGTACTGGCTTTCTGAAACTAAGACAATAAAAGTCTGGGGCCTTGGAATCAGAGATATGATCAAGATGACCAAATCAGGGATCAAGTCAGATTTCAAGTGGATAGAAGAGCTCATTAGGAACAATGTTTTTGCCGGATCAAAAGTTCCCAGGGAACTTAAATACTTACTTGGTTACATGGCATCTGACCCAATAAAGTATGGAAATCTCATAAAGCACAACATTTGTCTTCTGGACGATGAATCTAAAGTCGAGAAATTTATCATTTTGTACCAGAAGCTGACAATCATCAGAAAATTGGATTACCAGATTTTCCAAACAGCTCTTTCATATATCAAGTGTGGTTTGTGTGGCGCCACGCATGATTGGCGGGCCAATGTTAAGTTGAATACTGTTCTTGAAAAGATATTCAGTTATCAGCCAAGGGGGTACTACTCACCTGACGAAGCAGGTGTAGCATTATTTGGATGCCACTGCAATCATCATGGTACAGATGATTGTGTAGACTGTCAAAACCAGCTGAAGGTCATAGAATACAGCAATGCTGATATCTTCCCAATGTTGGAGTGCCATGTACCTGGCCTGTTCGCCCAACTTCAGGAGGCCTTATTTGAAGTCATTGAGATACGCTATCCCCATAAACTTCAGGGGCTGCGCAACAGATGCACAGGAGGTGGTTAGTCAAAACACTGGAGTTGAGCAATATAAACACTGGACGGAAATATGAACCTTTCTGGACTCCTGATGGCTGGTGAAAACATTGGATATACTGTGGATTACAATCATGTATAATTAGTACTTCTCCATTTCATACATATGGTTAGAATGATGCTCCATACATTTTGTTCGGAATGATGCTGCTGCTCCATACATTTTGGTTGGAATAGAAAAATCTGTATGCTTTGGTTGGAATGGAACAATCTGTATGCTTTTTATGTAGCTGGATACACGTTCTTGTATAGATTTGTCTTTCATGTGCATGTTTTGAAACAAAGCGTGCATACAGGTGCTATCTGGCTTCCATTACTGAAGCAGCCTAAGTAATACTAAGTCAGGCACATTTTGTACTAGTGGCATGAAATTGTTTTGGCGCTTGTGTGACTGTATATCAGTATATATGTCTACATGTGAGGAATGGCCAGAGAAACAAAATGTCTGCAGCTTCGACATGACTATGCTTTCACTCTCTTTCACCACTTTTCTAAAATAGTGCATTAAGGCATGCCCATCAACAACCTTAGAACCTAGCAATCCTAGGATAGAGGAACTTGGATTTACAGAAAAGTGGATGGACAGGACTGAATCTTGTGGGCCGATGGGGCAAAGGGCATCTGATTACTTAGATCAGCAAAAGGATTACTTAGACCAGCAAAACGATAAAGTGCACTGAAAGGAGAGAAATTGATCCAAACAAGTGTTTTTTTAGCAGATAAAGGAAATCCCTAGATGGGAATTGGGATGCATTAAGGACAAGGAGGCAGATGAGAGCGGGCAACAACAGGGCCAAGCATCTAAATTCACCGTTTCCATCACAGTGTGCACAGCGGCGCCACCGTCGACGTGCGCGCGTGCGCGCAGCATCCAACGTCGGATCATCGCCGCTGTGGAGGTCCACCCGCGCTTGTGCCGTAGTTAAAGGCACCGTCGTGGCGCCGCTCGACGGAGCCGCGTGCGGTTGAAGCCGCACGCGTGCTCCGGCGAAAGGAGCCACGGCGGGGCCGCCTTCTTCTCCGCCGCTCGGCGCTCGACAGCGCCGTCGTCCTTATCCTTCTCTCTCTTCTCTCTCCTGTGGTAGTAGAAACGGGCTTGGTTTGGGTTCCCGCCTTCCCGGCCGCCGACTCACGGTTTTCATCAGGCCGTCTCCAGACGTGATCTAACGGACGAAGCCGACCCAGGCACCCAGCGCTAAGATGGCCCTAGCGGATTGGCGTCCTGGCGCCAATTAACAGGCCGCCAAGTTGTCGGGCTGGGCGAGAAACGGCCTGGTTCAGGAATCGGGAGGTTGTCTCAGCCCATAATAATAAATAATAATTTCCTTTTGTTTTTGGCTTATTTTTACCAAAAAAAAAATCAACAACGGCACTGCTATATTATCGTGTACTCCGTATGTAAGATTTGTAAGATAAGAAGGAGAAGCAGCCGAGTTTTACAAAGCCTAGATAAACTTGCTCCGGTCATTCCATCTAGGGGTTCCTTTCCTTCAGGCAATCAGGCTCGCCTTCTCAAAGCCATTTCCTCTATGTTGACGATAAAAACTTGCAACGGTGAATTTGATGTAACTTTGCCTTCCAAATACTCCACCCACACATAAGGAAGGTTAGGCCTTCGTCGTTCTCAATTGCCTCGCATTCTGACCCTGGAGCGAAGCGATCCACCGCTGTCCAGCCCTGGTTCGCATGAGCTGCCAGACCTCCTTGTCGAACGGGCAGTGGGGTCAAAGATAAGTAGCAGTCTCCTGAGTGGGTTCTGGGTTGCATCATGCATGGCCAGTGCATCAAAAATCAGTTTGTCTGCCATCAAAATCTTGTATTGTATGAGCAGCCAAGAAAAAAAAACGGTCCTTCCCTTCTCTGCATAAACTTTCTAAATAGAAGTTGCATTAAAACTGCAGTAGGGACCCTTTAAATTGGATCAGGTATGCGGATTTGGCGCTGTGCTCCCCGTTGGCAGTGCCAGTCCATTTAAGGTAAAATAGTGACGAACTCTGCCATGTGTGTGTGTTGCACACTATCTATTCCGTTAGCTTGATTTCCTCTAACGACAGTTACGACCGTGCTGACTCTGAACAAAGGGTATTGAGGCCGATAAGTGATAATTTGTACAGCTAAGGCCATTGGGCCCAATTGACTCAGATTTTGGACCTTTAACTGTTGTATGAAATTATTATACCACATTATTCGTAACTAGTATAGTGCCCGTGCTAACACTACGGTTTCAACGACGATATTTTTTTCATAGTTCCATTTCACACGATTGTATATGACCATGTCTTTCATCCAGAAAACACTCTCGCCTCAACCATCTAATTTACAATCTGCATAGCACAAGCCCTACTCATGCCAAGTATCTACTCCACAATGAACATTTTTTTATGTTGCAGTTATAGGCTCGTGTTAAATTTTAAAAAACGACCTTTGCTTGACAGATTTTATGTCAAAGCATCAAAGTGAGACTAAACTTGCACATCTTGCTACACTTCTACTACAGAAAAGCACGCATCCAATCTTAGCACAAGAAAATGCTAAGGATATACAGGAAGCTCATCTAAATGCAAGATGTTCTTATGATACATGATGCAAATGCAATGCTAAAATGGACGGGTTTCAGCTCAAGATCAAGAAACACTTAGAAGGGTCAAATAAATTCTTGAAAAAAAATTCAAAGAACCCTAGGAAATAGGAAAATTTGGGGGAAATCCAAAATCAGAGGTGCTCGTGAGGGGATTGGATGAGTTGATGGCCAAGAAGTATTCTTACATGTCTTAGCACTGATTTGCCCCAAGAAATTTGCCCCAAATCACATCCAAAACGCAAGAACGGAAAATCCCAAAATAGTTCCGAAAAGGACAGAAAAAGATAAAATTCTGATTTAGAGAAAGGAACAAGTGGAGCATGAATTTAATCCTTGGATTAACTCAAGATGTCGGTTTACAAGCCACACCTTACTAAATCAAATCTAAGATGGCAAAAAGCTCAAGAACAATAGCCACTCCTCTCTCTCTAACCCTAGCCTCCTCTCAACACCACACAAATGAGAGGGAGAATAACCCAACCAGCCCCTTCACATATATATGCATAGCAGATACTTCCATTAGGAAATTTGAAACCCCTTCACACAGATAGTTCCATTAGGAAATTCGAAATTCGTCTTTAGTTAAAATTCACCATTGTCTTCATTCAAACCCTGCATCATTTTTTGTTAAAAAAAATCAGGAAACCATATTCTGAATATAATCACTAAACACGAGCAAATAAACTTTTAGGGAGGCTGAATACTTTAACCATGTGGAGAAATAAAAAAAAACTCAAGCGGAGCACCTAATATTTTTTCAGCAATCTGGTCCAATCAAGCAACACTTGCTTTGTCTCTGAACCAAAATGGTAAAGCAGAGTTACTGGTAGACCACCGGAGGACTTCTACTTCCTTTTTCTTGATAACATATTGAAAATTAAAGGTGGATCCTTAAACCAGGGTCTATATCTGGAATGTTTTACGGAATTCTTAACTGTATCTTGAAGAATGGCATGCAATTTTTATTTGGTACAATCATACACTTCCCATTCAAGTATCAATGTATCTGATGCAAGCAGATATATTTTTGTAAGAAAAAAACTACTCTATGTGAAACTTTCTTCCTTTTCTATCTTTTTCTGCAAAATAATATTGATAAAGAGACAATATGATCATAGCCTGATCCTTGTAGATGGCATGGGGTTCATGCCATCTGGTGGCTTGACAGTACAGAACAACATACTATAAAATGGTAAGCCTTAATTGGAGATAATGGAAATACCCCTCCCTCTTTAGCTAGCGCAATTGAATGCCAACCTCCAGAGTACGTACTGTCAACCTACAATTATAAGCTGCAGAAGTAGAACAAGTGAGAAATCAGGAAACCATTGTGATGATAAAATAATCAATTTATGAGCAAGCAGTGGCGCCCTGATGTTAATAGGCTACATCCTAGTCAAACAACCACCAAGTACCTGATACTCTCTGTTTACACTATCATACTGAACTTCTATCCGGTTCTGTAACCTCTGTAGGCATTCTTCCTGAAACACGCTAAAGAAAATATGTTAACTATGAATAAAACTTCACTATCCTGCAGTGTACAGTTAAACCCAAATTCATCAAATTAATATACAAATTACTTCAGTTAAAAAGGCACTAAAGTGAATTAACAGAGTCAGAGCAATTTGACGCAGGTGGTGCAGAAGCAATGTGAGATTCAGAGGAGGATCTGAAGTTCAGGATGAATTCGGGGGGCTAAACAGTGAGATGTTTCAAGTTTCAATGACAGGGTCGAGAATCTAGCATTGCTTCAGAACAGCAAGAGCAAACTAGGAATCAAATCAAATCATAAAGAAAGAGACGAATCCCACCTCAGGCGTCAAATCAAAGGAGAGGCGCGCATCGCTGTCCCTCCTCTGTGCGCAGACGCAGGAGAGTCCGACGCCGGATACAGGTATGGAGGTACCCTGTTGACTTGCCCTTCTCCACCTCCACGAGGCCTCCCTGTGCGTGGAGCACGACTCACCAGGACATCACTCCATCATGTACAAGCCAAGGAGAGGAGAAGGTCCAGCATGGATGTCCAATTCATCTTTCTTATGGTGGAGGCCCAGTCCAACTGAAGTTGGAGCCCATCTCGGGTTCCAAGACCAGTCTGTCATAAAACTAGTCACACGGGCGCGTCCGTACTCCGTTTTCGACGATCCATATATTGATGGAAAACTATTTAGATAAGGAAGCCAATACAAGTGGTATGACGTCAAAAGCTCTTCAAAATCAACGGGAATCGTCGAAACAAGTCAAGGTCCAGAATCTGCCAGGTTGCTGTGACACCGTCTTTTACGGTCCGTTGGGCCGTGTATCGTCTTAGAGCCTATTAGGGGGCGCGTCCAGGGGGTGACGTCCCAAGGTCTATAATTAGCAGCCGTCGCTCTCCTTGGGGTTTA